GGGATATAAAATCCACTTATGGAAGACCAATTTTTCATACATAGGTTCTGCAGGGCCAACTGTGTGGTATTCTGAGGGATGAAATAAATCAATTTGACTTGATATACGAAACATGTATGTAGCAGAAATGTTACCCTTCTGTTTTGAAACATTCTAAGGACCATGATATAAATGTGTGTTTACACAAGTATATATACACATGTGCATGCACACACATCCATTTAACAAGGTAAAAAAGCATAGCAATGGAAGCAAAGGAAACAGCATCCAGTCTAGATTACATACTATTAAGGTTTAAAAATTGTTCCTGAATTGTCAGGAACAATTGTAAAGCAGAGGGAATAATATATACTGAAGGAAAGAGATGGAGAAAATATATGGCCTGCCAGTCCTACCGACGATCCATGTAGGTTTGCAGCTAGTTTTCAGAGAAAGTTTCATTGGGCTGTATGATCTATAGGGGAGTTCTACAATACTCTTCTGGTAGCAGTACTATCCTAACCTTATTATGAATAAATCTATTAAGATATCCTCTGTATTGCAAACATTAGGTAGTAATATACCAGAAAATAAATGTGAATAGATATTTACACAAGAAGAAGTATAAAGATTCACATGTCATTAACTGGCAAGCAAGTCCTTACCTGGCAACCCCTCCATAGTCAAGGCCTTCTTCTCCGCGAAATTTTATCATTAATCGCTTCCAGAGATCTTTTGGTCTCATTTTCATGACCTGTCGATATGATTCCTAGAAAAAGATTTTAACATACTTTCTAAGTACTTTTAACCTATTATTCAAACTCTCCCTCCTATTTCACCCATGAAATGTTAAGTTTATTTAAATAAGATGAAATCTGTTCAACAATCAAATCAATACATAAATTCCAAATGTTTTAAAGTTCATGGAACTTTTAAAAACAAAATGTATATAGCTTAATCATATTAAAACCAATTCATTTGATAAATATTATACTAAAAGCCTACTAGGTATTAAACTACATATTTTAGTTCTATGAACCTAAAGTTCTATAGCAATGGTTCCACCCATATTAAAACCAGAATTTGGTAGAAGGAGCAAGTTTTAAAAATCCGGTTGACCTAGTTCTAGGTCATAGGCACCAGTAGAAAAAAAATGTAAGGAAAAAAAAAAAAGAAAACAAATGTAAGAAAAATAAAGTTTTGAAAGAACATACGTAATCATTAATGTGACAACCTTCATTACACAGAAACTTTAAATCATTTTAAAATACAAATGACTAACTACACACACGGTTAGACTATTCTAAGAGAAAAAAGTTCATCCCTTGGGAAAAGGATTATTTCTTGTCCAGGAATCCTCTAGTGAGAGGGAAACCCTTTCCTTTGACCTCTGACACCTACTGTGAAAGCACTTTGAAGCTGATACTAGGGCTGTAATCCAAAGATAAAAGTATATACCAGAAAGGAAGATTTTCAATAAACGAAGGAAGTAATCCAATAGTAATTAGATAAAATAATTTAAGAGTCTCTTACATTTCAGAAGAATTAGGAAGTAAGGGATGGATAATATTTGTGGTCTTTTAAAATTCATTAACAAATAAGAATTTGCAATGCAGAGGCCAAACTGAAGTGGAACATCTGACACTCTTCATTCCAATTAAATACTTATCGTACATATTAAATCTCTCCAATATTATATCCTTCACTCTCTACAGTTAAAAAAGAAGTTAATGAGAACTCTTCCATTCTAAAGAGATATGAGTTCCAAAAAAGGTATTCTTGGAAAAGACAGAGTAAAACAGTAAAATTTAATTTTTCTCTGATTTAAAATAAGATTTGTAAAGTTTACCTCAAAAATCTCTTCCCTGGAAACCTCAATGCGGCAGTGGCCAGCCTGAGGCTGTTGTTGGGAAAGCTCTTGCCGCAAAATTTTTAGTTTCTGAACCAGGTCTCGCTTGTACCTTGGAACTGTCAGACACTCTGTGTCATCAGGGCATAATGACACCACTTGCTGTTGCTGTTGGTCTTTCAATTGGTTCTGCCGACTAGAAGTAAACAAAAATATTATTGAAGTATTTTAAATAAAAAATTGCAACTGTATGTTTAAAATAGTATAATACTGTAAAACAAGCTTAGCTATATCATTTCCAAGCCTAATAAGGACATATAATGCTTGGCTTGACATTATGCCAACAATAAATCAGCTCCAAAGTTTATTTCTCATAGTCCATATGGATTAATAGAACTGGAAAACGCAGTTTTATCCATAAAGCTTTATACAGCTGCCAAGAACAAATTTTTCCAATGTTGTTTCCATTTTCCTCTACATAGTTTACCATCACCCATTTTAAAATTCAGGTATATGTCAAACATTGCTTGTTATCTAGAGTCTGTCTTTCTGGGAGCCAAACAGGAGTGTGAACTGGCAGCTTGGTAGGGACCCCTTCTTTTTATGTACCAGGCCAAATTTTATACCTAAAACATATGACTATACATAGAAAATAACTGTTTTATTGAAAACGTCAATATTAATTACTCTTACAAACATTATAATAGATACAGGTGTTTTTACACACACAAAATCAAAACAGAATATGAATAAAAGTATTCCATAAACTATTGTATAATTCTGTTTTTTACAAATGAGGCAGGGCCTGGCAGCTCACGCCTGTAATTCTAGCACTCTGGGAGGCTGAGGTGAGAGGATGACTTGAGCTCAGGAGTTCAAGACCAGCCTGAATAAAAGCAAGACCCTATCTCTAGAAAAAATAGAAAAATCAGGCAGGTGTGGTGGCGTGTGCCTGTAGTCCCAGCTACCCAGAAGGCTGAGGCGGGAGGATCACTTGAGCCCAGGACTTTGAGCTTGCGCTAAGCTATGATGACGCGTGCCACTGCACTCTAGCCAAAGTGACAGCGAGACTCTCTGTCTCAAATAATAAAAATAAACAAATTTGCATGTCTCACACCAGACACAAAAACTCAAAATGTCACAGACCTCAATGTAAAACCTAAAGCCATAAAATTTCTAAACACAAGAGAAAAACTTTTATGACCTGTGTTAGGCAATGTATGATTTCTTAGATACAACACCAAAAGCACAATACATAAAAGAATGGGTAAATTGAACTTCAACAAAATTATATAGAAAATTTCTGTTTTTCAAAGATATTGTTAAGAAAATGAAAAGACAAATCATGGACTAGGAGAAAATCTTTGGAAATCATATATCTGACATCTAAATAGCTAAAGAACCATCAAAACTCAACAATAAAATCCAAGCAGCTCAATTTAAAAGGGTGGGAGGAGGGAGATTTCACCAAAGATGACATATGGATAGCAAATCCACATGACAGATACTCTCAGCACATCATTTAGTCATTAGAGAAATGGAAATTAAAACCAGAATGAGATACCGCTATATACCTATTAAAACATCTCAAATTAACAAGATTAACCATACAGAGTATTAGTAAGGATGTGGAGCAACTGAAAGTCTCATACACTACTGGTGGGAATATAAAACGGCACAAACACTTTGAAAAACAATCTGATAGTTTCTTCAAAGGTTAACCATAAATCTATCACATGATTCAGCCAGTCTCCTCCTAGGTATTTATTTCCATACAAAGACTTGTACATAAATGTTTACCATAGTTGTATCTGTCATAGTCAAACACTGGTAACAACCCGAATGTCCATCAATAGATGGATGAACAAATTGTGATGTATTCTTACAACGGAATACCACCAACAATGAAATGAAATGAACTATACATGCAACAGGGACAAATCTCAAAATTATGTGGGTATAAGAAACCAAACATGCTGTAACAAAAATACCATAGGAAAAAAAATGAAATAAAAATCAAACAAAAAAGAGTCCATATCATGATTCTGTGTATCTAGAACTCCAGAAAATGCAATCTAACATACAGTGACCGAAAGTAGATCAGTGGTTGCCTGAAGATGGGATGTTTTGTGGGTTGAATTGTATCCCCCCAAAATATATTCTGAAGTTCCAACTGTGGTACCTGTGAATGCGACCTTATTTGGAAATAGGGTTTTTGCAGATATGATAAAGTTAAGAAGGGGTCATCACGGATTAGAGTGGCCTTAAGTCCAACAGGTGGTGTCCTTGTAAGAGGAAAATTTAAATATGGACATACAGGAAAGAAGACTATGAGAAGACAAAGACTGGAGTGATATATCTAAAGGCCAGAACACCAAGTTTTCCAGAAACCACCAGAAATGAAGAGATAGTCATGGAACAGTTTCTCCCCTCAGAGCCTCCAGAAGGAACCAACCATACTGACCACCTTACTAGCCTCCAAAATGTAAGAGAATGAATTTCTGTTGTTTTAAGACACCCAGTCTGTGGTATTTTGTTAAAACAGCCCTGGGAAACTATACAGGGTGGAAGCCCCACAAGGAGGGACAGGAGGAGAAATGACAAAGGGGCAGGAGAAAGCGTTTGGGGGTGATGGATATGTTCAACTAGCTTCATTGTGGTGATGGTTTCACAGGTATAGACTATGTCAAAACTTAAACTGCACACTTTGAATATTCAGCTTATTGTATGTCAATTATATTTCAATAAGGCTAATTAAAAAAAAAAATCCAGGGACACTGAGCCCATTCACAAAGCCTTGGATGATAAGACCTGCAAATGGAAAAGGCGGCCTGAAGCTGAAGGACAAAACTGACAGGAAATCCTTCTGGGATGGATGCAGCTATCCTGGAACTATTGCTTCTGATGCACTCAGGGAAAAAAATCTAACCACCCAATAAAGCAGCTCATCTCTTTATGTGTGCCAAGGTGCAAGGGACAGTTATGTAAGAGCCAGTGTCAGTGCAGGCCAGGAAATAGTGGGGGTGCTGGTCTGCTATCCTTTAAGGCCTCTGCCAATGTCCAGAGACGTAATCAGGCAATCGAACAATTTTCTTGAAATCAAGTGAATCTGATAAACAGAAGAAAGACTCAAACTGTAAACCCCTTGCCCATAGTCATCATTTACAAAAAAAAAAAAAGTTTCCTTTATGGGTTTTAAGGCAGAATATCTTCCTGCAATGCCAGTCAAAGGAAGGGAAATAAATAGTGTTAAAGGAATCAAAACAAGAAGGGGGAAAAAAACCTTTCATAGTCAGACTGACTGGGTTCAAATCCCAGCTCTAGCACTTTTTATGTACCTCTGAACAAGTTACATAACTACATGAAGCTCCATTTTTCTCGCTGGTGAAAGGGAAACAGCCTAGGATCGCAATGCAGATGACATGAGATAGTGCTTAACCAGCACTCAAAGCACGAGAAGTGCATAGTAAATGTTAGTTATTATAAATAACTACTATTAAGATAGTTAACTGGGTTAAAAAATCACGCTTTTCAAAGTAAGAGAAATTTAAAAACTGATGAAAAATGATTTTTTAGAAGAATATGCTGCCTTGCAAAGTTATTTATTGAACCCTAGTGACAGTGTCTTGCAATAGTTTAACAACACTGTGCCCTGCCATTGACAGATTATATGCTGAGGCTTCACACAATCTTCAGAACATCAAAAACATCCCTTTGAAGAGAATGATGACAATAATATTGCAGGAGGGATTCATATAAGAGGTAAGGGCTGAGGGAGATAAATGCATCTGCATAAGAAAGGCTTTTCTTTTTTTTTTTAAGTCAAACATGATGTCCTAAATAAAATACACATTTATGTATCATAGGCCTAGTATACACTTCTATTATAAGTAGTAACTTCTCTTGTTGCTTCCTCCCAAAATGCTAATTCTCAATTCTTCTTCGTTTGACTACCATATTCCTCTCTAAAACAGTTTGCCCCACCACATTTTTATCTGGCTTATGTAAGTACCCTCTATGTGATTATAACGCAATCAGCATTTCCCATTTCTTAAAAATGCTGAAACAGGAAAACACTAGCTAAAACTCAAGGTAATCTAAAAATACCTGTGAATGTTATATAAAAACATAATCCATACATCATAGCACCCTAAAATTCAGACTAAGGATTAAACTAATTTCAATCAATTCAGAATTAGCCTGGTAATAACAACCTATACTCTAATAACTTTTTGCCCTCAAAAAAAATTCCAGAGAGAAAACCAATAAAAACCGTATCAGATCTACCAAATAAGGTAACAATATATTTGACAGCACACATAGATTCAAAACTCTGTTAACACCCATCTAAAAACCCAAAATTTAAAAATCTCTCAAAATGGAAATAAAACATTAATGGAAAAAACTTCTATCCAACATATCCTGATATGTAAGGATTAATAAATTAACAGTTAACTTTTTAACATTTGTGCCTTATGACTCTCTTTTTAAAACCATAATTCAAGGTTAAAGTAGTTTTTTATATCTCAATGTAATTCAGTTTCACATATGAATTAGATTTTACATCATATGTCTGAATAAAATCTAACTCTTATCACTTTTAAGTTAATTATGATAAAAACTTAAATGCTGCAAATAACTTTTATGTATTTTTGTGTAATACAACATGAATATAAAACCCAAGGAAGATTTATCAGGTTAGAGATTTTATTGATGATACCAGCAGTTATAGTTCTGAAATCTTGTCCTAAAAAAAAAAAAAAACAGATATACAAATGCTTAAGCTTTTTTTTTTTTTTTTTGAGACAGAGTCTCTCTCTGTTGCCTGGGCATCAGCCTAGCTCTCAGCAACATCAAACTCCTGGGCTCAAGTAATCCTTCTGCCTCAGCCTCCCAGGTAGCTGGGACTACAGGCACGCGCCACCATGTCCGGCTAATTTTTTCTACTTTTAGTTGTCCGGCTAATTTTTTTTCTATTTTTAGTAGAGACGGGGTCTCACTCTTGCTCAGGCTGGTCTAGAACTCCCGAGCTCAAGCAATCCTCCCTGAGCTCAAGTAATCCTCTGGCCTCGGCCTCCCAGAGTGCTAGGATTACAGGCGTGAGCCACTGTGCGCAGCCCTTAAGCTTCTTCGGCCCTTAAGCTTCTTCATAGCACAAAAATTTCCAAGTCAAACATATTAAACAGAGCAGCAAAATAATACTTCAATACAAAAATAAATTTCCAAGAAAAGTTTCTACTATCAACATCCATAAAGCTCTGAGGTAAAGCAAATGTTGGCCATATTAATGCAAACTAATAAAATTACTATTTTCCAATTCTGTTTAAGAAAAATAGTCAAATGTTCTTCAAATTACTTCCTGTCATTTATTTCAACATTCAGAAAAGGCAACACACATTTCTCAGCATATCACCTGTAGTCCTTCCTTCAGAACATTACTTTTTGTTCAGTTATTTACTACAACTAACTCTTCAACCAAAAGACAGAAGATCTGTAACTGTTCAACTGAAATGTTCCACTGGCAACATCAAGGCAAACTCCTGTTACCTAAAGAGATGATCCTGAGGGCAGGAGGTAAACAAAGTACAACCACCTCTTGGAGCTCCTCTGGGCCTCCGAAAGAGCCCTTCTGGCTCTTCATTATCGTTATATATTTGCCAAGTACTTGGGTATGTTACATACTAAAGAAGTAAAAATAAATGGGATATGAGTCCTCTTCTTAAGTAATTCAAAGTCTAGTAGGGGAAGCAGAAAGGTAAAAAAATTATGATACAAAAAACTAAAACAAAAGCACTCTGTAGAGAGCTTCAACATCTCATTTACTCCTTATCTCCCCAAATTACAATTAGTTGCCCCCATATGCCACTTAGAAAAATCCGTGCACAAAAGTAAAGTCCAGATGGGTTAAAGACTTTACTGTAAAAGGCAAAAGTGTAAATGTATTAAAAGCATTCATCTATACTTAAAATTTTAAAATATAAAGAAAACATTAGAAAAATGGGCAGAAGATAAAAACAATTCTCGTAAGAGTTGATACAACTGGTCAAGTAGACCAATGAAAAGCTGTTCATCATCAACAGACAACAGTCAAAAGATAGGAAGACACATCTTCACAAAAACAGGAAATCCAAATGGTCAATAAACCTATGAAAAGGTGCTCAACCTCATAGTAATTAGGCAAATTCAAATTAAAGTCACAATGAGATACCATTAATCATCATCAGACTGGCAAAAATTTTGAAGTCCAACAATACCAAGTACTGGCAAGATTGTGGAGCAACAGGAACTCATATACTGCTGGTAAAGGACAGCAGTATATGATTGGTACAGGTACAATAGAAAAGTCACCCTTACATATTGAAGATAAAAATATTCTATGATGTAGCAATTCCACCACTAGGCAAGTACCCTAGAGCAATGTTACTCAAAGTGTAGATTGCAGACCACACTTATTTTGCTATCTAGGCTATTGATTCTAATGCACAGAAATAGTCCACACTTCTCTGTATTTCTTCAATTGCTTACTCATTGTAAGGCTTTTAAATACTAGTGACCTTCATTTTTAACCAAGGTTTTAGTATCTTCTATCCACAATAAGCTGCGATCTATTGATATAATGAGACTGCCAGGATAACTATATGTATTTCAAAGAAGGAATCAAAGATACATATTTTAAAAATGCTTTCTCCTGTTATCCTAAACAATTGGTAAACAATTCTCATTTAAACTTTTTGCTTTATACTTAACCTAGCTCCAAAAAGATTAATGAAACAAGGATATTTTCAAAAGTCTTCTTAAATTACAGTACTGTTTTATTGTTTTGAACATTTTAACATACCTGAGAACTTTACGACAAATGAATGAGGAAGGTAGAGCAGGTAAGATCATCATTCATTTAGAGAAGCTAAAGTGAATTATTGGGCATCACAGTGAATCTTGTTCTCTAAATTCTTACCCTAAAACCCTTGTTGCTATGCCACTGTCACAGTGTTTTTGCAGGAAATGTTGAAAAAGATACTTTGCTACTTTGCTTAGTGATAAAGTTTCCTTTTCTCTTGTTCTTCTCCCCTTCCTTAGAAGGCAATGCCAATAAATAATGGAGTTAGAAAAAATTAAGCAGCTGGAGAGAAAAGGAATGCAAAGGTTGCAAATAATACATAACAATGCTCAGGACAGTGGTTAACAGCAGACTGAAGCCAGAGTGCCTGGGTTTGAAGTCAGACTTGATCACTTACTGCCCGGTGACCTATGGGAAGTCAACCTCCATGTCTGTTTTCTCATCTATAAAAATGGCATTAACTAACACAGGATTTTTTCTGAGGATGAAATTGCTAATATGTAAATTACAAAGAACACCTGGCACATAATAAGTGCTATTAAAGTGTTAGCCATTAATATTAATCATTTTGTGTTACAATGGCAACACAAAATTAGCCTGTTCAGCCTCTACTTTGCCTGTCAAGCTATTGCCTCTGTAAAAGGCCCTCTTGCTTATGCACCTTTGATACATACTCTTTTCCTAACATTTCAGGTCAGGTTTCTACACACAGGAACACAGTGGGTTTAAATTATAATATTCATATCAGAGTAAAACTTGTCACACTGTTACATAAAATTTTACTCAACAAAAGTAAATTATAATTGGAGAACAGATGTTCTTTCACATTCATTATAAAAAGCATCTATCAGTTTCCTCTTGTTCAGACTCACATTTTAACACGTATTGTTTCAAAAACTTACTTTAAAACTAAATGCAAGTTAGCAGAGAGCCGAGGATCTGTAAATTGTGTTGTTCTGTTGTTATGGTCAACGAAATAAACTCTGCCTGTTGCGGTATTACGGATCTCCCATCCAGGAGGCAATGGACCAAGCTCTTCACAATTGATGTTGCTAAGATCCCTGCAAAAACAAATATAAAATAAAAAATACCTCATTGCTGGGCCTGCTGTGCCAAGCAAGTGTAAATGACACAGAACAATTCCATGAAGGCTGAGAAAGTGTATTGTTTCAGAAACTTGAGAGGTTCAGCTGGAATCTTCAATTCCCAATAGCTTAACAAACTCGCATATTCAAAACCCAATCTAATAGCTTAGAAAAACTTATCACATACCCTACACTTCTCGTAAGTGCCTAGGTTTTAATGTAGTACAGATTTTAAATTAATATAAAAGCAATCATAACATCTGCCAACATAAACTGTATTTCAATACTTGTCTGACAGAAAATATTATTTTATGAGTGTCAGTGATACAAAGAATTAAATGTTTTCTAAAATTTCCCTTCAATCATTTCTTTCTTTACTATACCATAACATTTGTGCAAACAAATGTCCGTTCCATGATTAATTTTAAGTTCTACAACAAAGCAAAACTAGAAATGTTACTGAAATTACGTCACAGTATATTTTTTAAAGGATAACTGCTCCATTTTGAATTCTGAAATACATAACACTAGTGAATGAAGAACTTGTTTAAGACACCTAAGGAATAATGCTCTAAGGGTTACTGCTACAATAAAAAGAGCTAAAAGACTTTTAATGAACCAAAGACCATTACATTTTTACATAAAATGTCTCTCTGTATTATATATAGGCAAGGATTTTAGGATCTCAACGAACGAAATAAGGAGCTTCCAGGCTGGTGAACACACTGAGGTGCTGGTACAGGGTGGTTCACCCAGAGCGAGCATCAAAGCTCCTTGCCCACCCGGCTCCACACTTTGCCCTAACAATTGCTTCCACTTAGCTGTTCCTGAGTTATATTACTTATAATAAACGGGGATTAGGATTGCAAATTTTTATCCTCTACACTGTTAGAACAAAATCTTCCAGAGTGAAGCTTCCAAAGTGTTGAAGTTGCTATTGTCATCCACTGGGAGAGTGAAGTCACTGTCATCAGTGGCCCCACTGAGGCTGTGTCTAAAAACATATGATATGCTCAGGTCATTTCCAACCCTAAATGAACATTTTAGGCTATCAGATCCATCTGTAAATACCAAGGAAATGACATACTCTGAAACTGACCAAGCAAACTCAAACACCTAAGACAGTAAAAACTGTTTTGTGGTCCTCCTTCTTAAAAAAAAAAAAGAAGAAGAAGAATAAAATGCAGCATGTCTAATGTAAATTTACTTACTTACTTATTTTTTGAGACAGAGTCTGGCTTTGTTGCCCTAGCCAGAGTACAGTGGTGTCATCACAGCTCACTGCAACCTCAAACTCCTAGGCTTAAGCAATTCTCCTGCCTCACCCTTCTGGGCAGCTGGGACTACAGGTGCATGCCACTACGCCGGCTAATTTTTTCTATTTTTTGTAGAGCTGGGGTCTCTCTCTTGCTTAGGCTGGTATCGAACTCCCGGCTTTAAGCAATCCTCCCTGGCCTCAGCCTCCCAGAGAGTGCTAGGATTACAGACATGAGCCACCATGACCGGCCCTAATGTAAATTTAAACTGTAACAGATAATTACAAATAATGACGAATTTCATCAAAATCATGTTTTAAACATTAAACCAGAAAAAGATTTTTCCTGAAATAACCTCTTAGTGATCACAGTAAAACACAATGATGAGCACATATGGGCACTCACAGATTTGCTGAAGCAGTGATTTTGAATTCTGCTATGGGTGCTCTAGGAGACTCTCCTACTACAGAACTAAAGCTTAGGGGGGGAAATACACCATTTCAGACACTGCTAGTCTCAAAAAGAGGTAAGGGAAAGTTCCAAGAATCCTCCTCAAAAACCTTGAACTAAGTGGAGCTGGTACGTGAGTGGCAGGCAGGCTGAGGGGCAGACTAGCAGCAAGGCTGGGAAAGGAAACTTGGAACTTCCTCACTAAGCTGAGGACTCAAAAGGGGGGATGAAGTGATTCCAGGAAAACTTCCTAAATTCCTACTTTAGGTCCACAGAATTCCAACTAATTAAGATCAAATAATAAACTCATAGGCCGGGCGCGGTGGCTCACGCCTGTAATCCTAGCACTCTGGGAGGCCGAGGCGGGCGGATCGTTCTGAGCTCAGGAGTTC